CTAATGCAACGAGCTTAAGGAACAAATGGCCTGGGCTTAGGGTGCGTTCTCAGAGTGCGGATGTGATTGCAGTTATTGAAACGTGGCTGCGACCGAAAGAGAGCATAACCTCCCAGTGCCTCAAGGGCTACATTGAGAGCCGGGTTGATAGATAGAATGCTATAATGGGCGTTGAAGTCCTCCTGTTAGTCGGACAGCATTATGATAAACGTTGACATGACGTGCTCTCCAAAACAGATCATCCTAAGTACTCCATTATATGACTTTGTCCGCTTTGTGTCTCTTTGTCACCGCAATGAATCTTTACGATATCTTTTGTACACGTTTAAAAACAACGTTCGTACTCTCTTTTTACTATTACTTTGTTTATTGACCGTCGTCTCTTTTTTACCTTCTTGTAAGTTTGATCATATGCACTAGCATGCCTCAGGAACTTCGTGAAAATTATCGTTATTATTATTGTTAATAATATCCCTAGGGTCGTCGGTACCTGGAGGTCAAGTGTGATTATTTCCAGTCTTTCGTGATGCTCGTTATTCTCTAAAGGAGCAGCCCGGTGAGAGTAGCACGATAAACAAGAATCGTTATACTGGATGAATGGTGGGATGATTGGAAACACGACAATCAGTGAGTGAAATAACAAGGGGCGGCCTGCTGATCGTTGAACGGAAACCGGCACAGATCAGATAGGGTGAAGCAGAACAGAGTGAAACTGTCATAGTATATGTATTCACTATACGGTGTGATTCAGTTGACTTCAGTGAGGACATTTTCGATGGCTTCGGGGCTTCGATCAGTAAGGGACGATTTGGGTTATTTGCGTTATTTAGGCGTTGGCCGCTTCGATTTGGGACTGACTACACGCTAGGCACCCATCTTGAAAACACCTTATCGATGAGGCAGGGGGTGCGTTCCTCTACCTGGTCCGGAATGCGGACGCATGTAGTCAAAGCGGTGGATAGAGCCCCGCCCAACAACCATTGCCCGTGCCAAATTGTCCATTACGGGTGTAGACCCGAAGCCTTCGTCAGGCACAAAAAAACCGGATTTGGAATAGGAAGGTGAAATTCGGCAGTCTTGGGTAATACTCAGCTGAGAAGGGATTGGGGAGCGAAATATTAAGAAGCTGACGACAAATTATAATCGGGGTTGTTGCTTAGGTTATAATACTTGTAAAAGGATATTATAAAACTATGTCTTGTCCTACAGATTCAAAATGGATTTGGATACGTGTATTGGTAGAACATCAGTTGAGAAAGTGGACACAGCTATCTGGTTAGCATGTGTCACGGAGTTGAGCCAATTGAGTCAGACAAAATCGAGATCAGATGGATATGAAGTGAGGAATGATGGGTCACAATACTTATAAAAGTATGTACCAAAGTTGATTGTGTTCCACAGATCCAGCTCCGAACCTAGGTACAATAGTTCATTGAACGGCCACTTTAGAAAGGGCTATTTCGACCGCGTACCTGACTATGAACTGGAAGTCGCGTACAGACCTATGTGGTACCTACCACATCATCCTGTGGTAAACCCAAAGAAACTTGAAAAGGTTAGAATAGTCTTTGTTTGTGCAGCCACTTATCAAGGAGTTTGTCTTAACCAACACTTATTGTCAGGACCAAATACCATAGCTAACTTAGTTGGAGTACTGCTGCGCTTTTGCTTAAGTAAAGTAGCTGTGGCAGTAGATGTACAAGAGATGTTTTGCAGGTTAGAGTTGCTGAACGTGACTCGGGGGCATTAAGGTTCCTATGGTGGCCTGAAGGACATCTCAATCAACAACCAAAGGAGTATAGAATTTTAGTTCACCCATTTGGTGCCACCTCGTCACCATTTTTTACGAACTACGCCTTGTGCCGTACGGTCGAACCATTCACAGACGTAGGCCATGATCGTGTGAGATGTGCAATTGGACGATAAGTTTACGTCGACGACTGTTTAGCATCTTTTGACGATGCCGAACAAGCAATGCTTCTCGCGGATCAATTAAGAGTAGCGCTTAGCAAGGGAGGTTTCCGGTTATGCAAGTGGTTGAGCAACTGCAGTGACGCCATAAGTAATATTTCAGAGAGTGGAAGGGCGTTTAGTTGTGCACAGCTAAATGTGAATCTAGATGCCCAAGAGCGCACGTAAGGCATGAATTGGCTTATTTTTGACGATGCCTTTGTCTTCCCGTTTGCCGTTACAGTCCATCCGAAGATACGATACCCAGGCCTCGAAAGTTACTCGAGGTGAGGCCTTACGATGGAGGTGTACGGAAGGCATGATCACACTAGGGTAACGGTTTTTGATTGCCGTTCGGAGTCCAAACGGAGCTCGCCTGGCTTTTCTTTAGCTTGAACACATCGCGTTGGGTGGGGGAGGTCCCCAAATCCAAGTACGGCTTTTGTAGTGGCCCTCCGAGCGCGCTCAAGGTATTCACGGTCTCGAATGAGATCGGAGTGTGCAAGTTGGCTTCCATACTCGAAGAGAGGGCTGGTGCACGTTCCGTAAATAAGGGGAACTCATCAACAATGACATGTGTGTCAGGATTTCATTGAATGGTCACCTATCTCACCCTTTTACGATAGACGGTCCCCACATTCTACCCCAAGTGGACTGAAACAAAGTTCTTGGTTTCTGGCTTAACAACAATTTCTCTTTCTCTTATCACAACCATCTAGACAGTAAGGCCACTTTTCGTGTCCTGAACCTCTTAAAAAGATGTTTCCCCCTTATTCTAAAGGACGACTTTCCCCTTATTTACGGAACGTACGTCCACCCTCACTTAGAATACGGAAGTCAAGTTGCACACTCCGGTCTCATCCGAGATCGTGGACGCCTTGAGAGCGTCCAGAGGGCCACCACAAAATCCGTCCTTGAATTCAGGGACCTCCCGTACCCAACGCGACTTCAACAACTGGGCCTTTATCCGTTAGAAGTCAGACGTATCGGGGAGATATATTTATCCTCCACCAATTCTTCCACACGGTTACTGTCGAAAACTTCTTCATCATTTCTGAATCTCAGCCTACCCGAGGTCATAGCAAAAACATTTTCAAGCCCCGTACGAGAACCACTTTACAAGCCTCATTTTTACCTTCGAGGTGGTATCCTTATGGAATGCCCTCCCAGAAAAAATAGTCAGCAAGGCGGTCGTCAAGCTTCGTCTTAACCGTCAGTTAGGTTTATCTACTAACCTCTAATAAAAGGAAATCTTTGAAAAAATTTTGGAATTATACGAGATTTCGCGATTTTTCATTTTACTGCTTACCTCGAAAGGGGAACCCTACTGATGCTTTTTCAGTAATTTCTGTTCTAGAAAAAGCTCGAACAAAAAGAAAACACAGATACATTTCAAATACCCAGGACATTTGGGCAAAAGCCTGGAACCCGTGAATCACATCAAGACGTCCGGGATTCGGGATAAAACTGCTGGGGTTATCATCATAACCCCAGACGACAAACCGAAACGCAGAGGACTGGTATGGCCACAAGCCACCAGGTTTCAACACTCGTAGAAAAATCACCCAGAAACTACCAATTCCTAATTTGAGGAGCCCCGTTAGCAGACTAGTAATGAAAGCAAGTAGGATGGGGACTCCGCAGGGCAGGGAAGTGACGCTGAGAAGGTCGGTAAAAAACCAGTAGCTACTAGCAAGCTGACTAGGGCTGAGCCAGGACATCGGGATGGGGGTGCTAACCAGGCAAGGGTAGGGACACAGGTGGGTGTCCCAAAAAACGGACGCAGCGCTTGGGTATAAGTCCCGAGCGACCGGCTTTCTCCCCAGGAACCAATGCCGCGAGTGTAAGTAACAAGTGGCCAGAAGTGGAGGCTCGCGCATCTGGAGCAGACGCCATCGTGATAACCGAAACATGGCTAGACTCGAGGGCTGGCATTAGATGCCGAATACCGAGGAACTATTCGATAAGCAGTAGAATAGACCGGACGGGTGACAGCGTAGGAGGTGGGGTTGTACTCTTGGTAGCTGACCATCATAAACAAAGTGAGGGTTTTAAGATTGCTACTTCAAATGTACAGGGTGAGGAAATAACGATCAAAGCTGGCAATGACGAGACCACCCTAGTTCGTTTATACCTCAGCTCTAGTGCGGAAACATGGCAAGACGACCAGCTACTTGCCTTCCCATATGAAGTCGCAGGGAAGGGTCGCAAACTCCTGATTGTAGGAGACTTCAATGCGCCGGAAGTAGACCGGGCCATACAAATGGCCCCCAGAAACTCATTCGGGAATAAGCTAGCTACGATGCTACACAGGAAGGCGCTGGCTCAGCACGTATACAGGGCAACCCGGTGGCGTGATGGGCAAATCCCATCAATATTGGATCTCGCGGTAACTAGGGTACCCAACGGCGTTCTAAGTTTGGGGAAAGAAGAACCCATCGGGAAAAGCAACCATGGTGTACTTCGAGTATTGATGAGTGCAATTGGACAAAGTACGCCAGACAAATACCGCAGGACCTTCTGGTCCATCAATTGAATCGGGTCGTCAGTGCGGCTGGATGGTAGAAGAGGGAGAGCAATATGTTGAACGACAGTGGTGTCGAATTTAGAACAACATATTGGCAATCATATGTACATATGATTATTTTGAACACATGATCATGCCTTGTGCATGCCTCACGGGTTTCGTGAAATATACATTATTATTATTATTAATCGCAGACCAAGCTGCACCGCTCAAGAAGGTCAGACGCAGGGGTGCTCCACCATGGTAGAGTAGCAGGGTGAGAAAGGCCAGCCAGAGGAAACAGTCAGCTTGGCGGCGATATCGGCGCACCGAAACACATCGAGACTTCCTGCGCTGTACAGTGGCGAGAAAAACAGCGTACAGGGTGCAAAATGAATGCCAACGCAGGTATGAGGAGAGGTTGGTCCTACATGCGAAAACCCACCCCAAAGCCTACTTCAATTACGTGCAGTCAAAGACTGCATTGAGAGAGGCTGTATGATTTGTTGATCGAGAGGTGGACGCAAACTCGTGAGCACACCACCGAAGGAATTCTGGATGCTTGATTGGCCTGTGGCCACTACCAGTCCTGTGCAACCTGACCTGACTCAAACGGTACATACCCCCGCGCGCGGTTTGAATTTATAAACTGCTCTCGGTTTTGAATCGTTTTGCCAAGCTACGTGAAATATCTCAGGATATTTAACATTAAATTCACCTATTTTTATCGGTTTTTGCTTCACCCCTGAAATATCGCAAGATATTTCACAGTACTAAACTTTGACTGGTTTTGATTAGTCACTGAGAAACCTTTTGCTGTTTAGAAGTTTCACAGGTGGTTCCTTTGGTACTTTTTCCTCTACGGTTACGTGACCTTTTTGTCCCTTTTCCGGTTTATTTTAACGTATTGCTAAAATGATACACGGGCGTGACCACTGTGGTATCAGTCAGTGTTCGGAACAGGTTGAAAGTGGTATCCAATGCGATAGATGCAGGGCATGGTACCACCAAAGATGTTACAAATTATCCAAGCAGGATTATTTGCTCTACAGGAAACATCCATCTCTGAAATGGATTTGTAGCCGCTGTGTTTCGTTGGCGAAGGAGTGCTCCCGCATACTAAGGGGAGCAGTGCTGAAGGGAGCAAACAAGACGGAGCCTTCAGTTACAACTAGGACCTCCGACCATGAGGTTAAAAACCGAAAAAGCCGTCAGCCAAAAGGTGAATGGAGTAGGGAAAACAGAGTAACTCCATAAGAAGAAACCAGTTAAGACGGCAGAAATAGCAGTCCTTACTGCCAAGATCGAAGCACTGGAGAAAGAGTTAAAAACAATAAAGCAAACACAGCAAGTGCTTCCGTGTCCAACGAAGCATGTATTGCTGCATAATATCCCGGAGCCTATCATACGGGATAGTAAGATTAGACATAAAATCGGATAGGAGGCATGTCCAAGACGTGTTCAGGCTAGCAGGCCTTCCCCCACAACGCGTTACGTAAAATGCCATCTCGTTGGTCTTTGGAGGGAACTTAAAGCTCTAAAACCAAGACCCATATTAGTGGTCTTCAGTAGCACATATATAAGGGACATGGTGCTAGCAAAAGTTACCAGAATAGAGATAAACACTTGAGGAGCTAAAAGAGTAACTCCAGACGACGGGACCATTATGAAACCGGCCGCAAAGGGGTGTACTAGCACGGGAAAGCAAACGGCAAGGAACCCCAGTTAGTGCTAAAAAGGGTGAGTATATTAACGGTGTAGCGAAACCCAATCC